ATTTCCCTCATTCAAATATCCATGAGGTAATTCAACTGGTACTCAATTTATGTTATTCAGTTTAGTGGTGTTTGTCGTTTGGTTTTCGATTAACATTGCGTTATCATGCATGCAAAGCACTCCAGGAGCAAATATGGGAGCTTGAATCTCCTTGTCAAGTTGGGTGGTTGTGCCCTGAGCAGATGTCCACTGCTAGAATCTTAGGCAACTCCGCTGACGTGTTGTACTATGCTGAACAGGGTATCAGGCAATCAGTGAGTGCGGGAGACAAGTTTATATTCGTCCCATACTATGAGGAGTACGTCTGATTATGCTAGTCAAGTTCATTTGTTTTCCCAGTTTATTTGTTGTAATAGGCTAACTATTGATTTGTTTTTCTCGTATGTAGTTATCATTGGACCCTACTTGTGATTTGTGTTTCCAGTAACACAATCGTCTACTTTGATTCTGCTCGGTTACCTCAAGTAAGAAAGCGCCTCGTGAGGTCCATACTGCAAAAGTAAGCATCTAGTTTGTTTCACTTCTTGTTATTCATTTTCATATCTTAACTCATATGTATTGATTATACTAGTCAAATTTGAACTTATTACTTTGATTTTTTGTAGTACCATGAAGAAGATAAATCCTCGATCTCCTCGAGGTCCTACATGGAAAGCACCCAACGTAATTCACCCATGATGTTGTGATTTTATTACTTTACAATGCTTAAGATGTTGCTTATTTTCTATGCATTTTGATTCATGTGCTTTGTTAATCATGCTAGTGCGCACAACAGGAAAACGGAGTTGATTGTGGCCTATACGTGATGAGATTCATGTATGACATAGTGATGAGTCATTGTACAGACACACGTCAGCTTGAAGAGGTTTGCCATTTTGGTTGAAATTGCATCCCAAAACCAATTACTTGCTCTTTTCTTGTAATCTCAAGCATTAAGAACTTATAACTAAGTTATTATGACATGTTTTAACTAGTTATGAGTTAAATAGACAAGAATTATAGAAAATAGGCATCATAGTACCCAAAATGGCCTTACTTAAGCCATTTTGGTTGAAATTGCGTCTTAAAACCTCTTTATTGCTCTTTTCTTGTAATCTCAAGCATTAGTCACATTTAACTAAGTGATAATGACATGTTTTAACTAGTTATGAGTTCAATAGACAAGAAATATAGAAAAAAGGCATCCTAGTCGCCAAAATGGCCTTACTTGAGCCATTTTGGTTGAAATTGCATCCCAAAACCACTTACTTGCTCTTTTCTTGTAATCTCAAGAATTAGGCACCATAACTAAGTGAAAATGACATGTTTTAACTAGTTATGAGTTCAATAGACAAGGATTATAGAAAATAGGCATCATAGTAGCCAAAATGGCCTTACTTGAGCCATTTTGGTTGAAATTGCGTCCCAAAACCTCTTACTTGCTCTTTTCTAGTAATCTCAAGCATTAGTCACATTTAACTAAGTGATAATGACATGTTTTAACTATTTATGAGTTCATTAGACAAGAATTATAGAAAATAGGCATCATAGTAGCCAAAATGGCCTTACTTGAGCCATTTTGGTAGAAATTGCGTCCCAAAACCACTTACTTGCACTTGTCTTGTAATCTTAAGCATTAGTCACATTTAACTAACCCCAATTAATATTAATTCACTTCTACTAACTCACATTTTGTGTATTCTAAGTTTTGTAAGGGGCAAACGGGACAACCATACACGAGCGAGGAACTCCATGTAATTCGGGAGATGTTGGCGACCTACATCACATTTAATTTGTAAATATCGTGAAACATTTTTGTACTATATCATCTCTTCATCAATCCTAGCCTTAGCTTACTAATTATGTACTATACACGAAACATTTTTCTAATTTATGTCATCTCTTGCGATTGTTATTATTAATTATTTATATTTTGTTATTAATAATACTAATTATTGTTACTATTATCATAATAATTATTATTATTATTACTATTATAATGTTAATAATAATTATTATTAATATTAATATTATAATAATAATAATAATTATTATTATTATTATTATTATTAATATTAATATTATAATATTCATAATATTGCAGCAAAAAAAAAAAGTCAATATTAGTGCAGCAAAAAAAAAAAAATAGAATACAGGTCAATGGCAACGGTTAACCGTTGCCAATATTTAAAAAAAAAAAAGCGCGCCATTGTATTTGTCAACGGTTAACCGTTGCCAATTATTTTTAAAAACAAAAAAAAGGGCGCCATGGTCAATGGTAACGGTTAACCGTTGCCAATTGCTTGAGTTGGCAACGATTTTGAACCGTTGCCAATTATTTTGGGATTTGGCAACCCTCAAATACGCAATGGTTCAAAACCGTTGCCTTTGGAGGGGTTTGAACCGTTGCCAATTTGCTCTTTTCGTGCAGTGCAAGGAAATTGTGAATGTTATTAGTGCTTATGCTCCCCAATTTGGTTTAGGTGCAAAAGAGAAACGACAATTTTGGGAGGATTTAGATGAGGTGGTACAGGGTGTCCACCACGCAGAGAAATTATATATTGGAGGTGATTTCAATGGGCATGTTGGGGTGAGCAGAGATGTCATCGAGATGGTTCATGGAGGCTTTGGGTATGGACAGAGGGATGCAGGTGATGAGGCTACTATGGACTTTGCCAAATCATATGAATTAATTTTGGCTAATACTTGGTTTAAGAAGCGAGATTTGCACTTGTTAACTTTTCAGAGTAGAGCAAATGCAACACAAATAGACTACCTGCTTACAAGGAGCACGGATAGATAAAGTTGCTTAAACTGCAATGTCATCCTAAGATAGTGCAGTCACCCAACACCGGCTTTTGGTTATGATAATTAATTTGAAAGAGAAGGCGAAGAAAAAAGGAAGACAAGAGGAGCCAATGATAAGAAGATGGACTCTAAGGGATGCAAATACTAAGGTTTTTACAGAAAAGTTAATTAAGGAGGCGGATTAGGATGAAGAGATGCATCTAGACATGACTTGGTTACGGATGAAGGACTGTTTCTTGAGAGTGGCCAAAGAGGTCTTAGGGGAATCAAGGGGAAGAACTTCGATGCAGCGTGATACTTCGTGGTGGAATGAAGAGGTGAAAGCAATAATTAACCAAAAAAGGGAATGTTATCAAGCCTTGGGAAAACGTAGGAGCGACGAAACCTTTGCAGCGTATAAGGAGGCTAAGAGCAAGGCAAGGGGAGTTGTTCGCCAAGAGAAAGAAAAAGCTTATCAGGAGGTTTATGAAAAGCTTAACTCCAAGGAGGGAGAAAAGATCATTTATAAGATGGCAAAGAGAAGACAAGAGGTAAGGAAGGATATTGGTATGGTAAAGTGTGTCAAAGATAAGAACCAAGTTGTTCTAGTACAAGATGAGGACATTAAGGACAGATTGAAGGGGTACTTTAATGAATTGTTTAATGGAAGTAATGGAGTAGTGACAGGAGATACCTCTTTTAGTGATGAAGAAATCAACATGGAGTATGTGCGGAGGATTAGGAGAGTAGGGGAGGAGATTGCACTGAAGAAGATGAAGCCTAAGAAGGCGGTTGGCTCTGATGGTATACCGATTTAGGTGTGGAGGTCTTTTGCTAAGATTGGTATTGATTGGTTAAAAAATCTCTTTAAAAAGATATGGAGAGCTACAAGGATCCCGCGAGATTGGAGGAATAGCATCTTGGTGTGAGGAGGGCATCCCGTCGTTGGGGATCCTACTTCCTCTTTGCCCATGGCCCTTTAAAGGCTCGGACTTTACACTTTTTAGGGTGTGTTAGGATTTGAATTGACTATTTGAGGGACCTTGCATTAGAGTTTATTCTATCATAACTCTTTTTTATAAGAAACTAATACGAAGTTGCCAATGAGTTTTAGGAAAACTCATAAACCTCGTTCATGCCTTTTTCCCAAGTAGAGTTCAAGAGATATTTAGCACGAATCATAAGTTTACCCATGCCCAAATTGGTCTACCTGTACCAGAAATGAGTTCGGGAGCAAGGGTACTAAACTAATGTTCCATATAGGGGGGAATCGCTATCCTAGCCCTTGTGCGGCCTCTACTAGCTTTTCCTTTTTCACGATTTCATAACCAAAAAATATATGCAACATGATACCTAATTACTAAGTTAGTTGATTTTATGTACATGCGTTAATTACAAAAAGATTACGATGCAACGAATGTTATGATTCTTATTTATTCCAAATTCGTGAAAAGAACAATAAATAGACAAGATTCACCTTGACTTAGGTGATAAAACAACAATTAATTATTCAATTCTTGTCTTTAATTAGCGTAAGAATACTATGTGAAATTAATTAATTAAAGTTTATTTAAAGTGATTAATCAACACTAATTAATCAATTAAAGTTGTTTAAACAAGCAAAGAGAAGTGATTTATCGAAGTGTTCGGGAATTTACCACTTTTCCTTGCTAGATCTTCGTTTAGAATGCAAATGGTCACCTTCTTGTTGCGGAACCTCCACAGTAAGAAGAGAGTAATTAAAGGGTGAGTGTTTAGGACAAGAGAGTTAATTATTACATAAATTAACAAAGATGTTATTAATGAATTTTAGGCTAATTTTCTGTGTCTTTAAAGCTCGTATTGAACCTTTATTTATAGGAAATGGGTGAGATTAGGATTTCGGAGATTCAATCGCAGCAGGTGGCGCACGCAACTCTGAATGTTGCGAGCGGCTGATGCGCACAAGTGATTTGGTTGCCTTACTCATGGCAATGTGACCTCTGGTCTTGCGCATGGCTTTATGGTAAGATTCGATTCAGTATATTTTGAAATTTTATATCTTCCGCAAGCGCATCCTTAAAAATCGCGCTGGATGCTGCGCGCAACCTTATGAGTTGCGCGCGCCAGTCCAGCGCAACTTCTTGAGTTGCGCGTGGATTTTTCTGCGACATCCCTAGTTTTTTACCTAGGCGCTCTAAATCCGTTCAAAATTAGGTTTAAACTCGGGATTAGGCCTTATTTCTGATCGGGCTTTAGTATTAATGAGCTTAAGTTCATTTCGTTTGGGTCAAGCTAGTTGGTTAACGTGTTTAGGCTTTATTCAAGAGTCCAGATGCGCGCAAGTTTCAGAGTCGTGTAGGGATTAAAAGTGCAATTCTCAGAGTTATGCGCGACACTTAAGTTAGTTACAGAAAAGGGAGAGTGCAATTTCTCGATTCACTGTCTCTACTTCCTCTTTCGCCATTTTCGTTCCTTTCTCTCTCTACAAAGCTTGGTTTTACCCCTTTTTGAAGCTAAAGAAAGGAGATCTCGCACCCCATTTGTATTTGCAAAAAATCTAATGTAAGTTTTCTTGTTATTTTCTCTCATTTTTGGCCGAAATTGTGGAAAAATCGAACCAAATAACCCTAAATTTGGAATTTGGGGGTTTTTTTTTTTTTATTTAGCCCATAATTCTTGAAATTGTTTGTTCCATGATGTTATACTATGTTTATACAGTGTTTTGCAACAAATTTCATGAAAAATGGTTAAGTGTAGAACCTTGTATGCGCACATTTTTGTTTATGTTCGTATTTTTTTTTGCACTTTTCTTCGATTTTTAGTTTGAATTTTCTATTTTTGCTTGCTCATTTGGTTATACTTGTTGATTATGTGATGAATTATAGTGTTATGCCTACAATTATGCTCATGAATAATGTTTTGAAAATTTTAAGTTTAAGAAATTTTCTTGAATTATTATTCATGTTTGAGAAATGGCACGAAATCCATGTTATTTCTATTTTTTACAATTTTCAAGTTTCAAAATAATTTTTTGGTAGATGATATTTATATTTGGGTGGTTATTATTCATCCTTTAACTATTAACTTCCAAGAGTTTTTGGAATAATCTTCAGAATGCTTAGTCGAACTGGTATAGGTTGGCTTTATAGGCGTTTGAGCCCCTATTTACTGAGTTCAATTGTAGCTGTCGTAGCCCCCATATATTGGGAGGCATTTGACTTAGTGTTTTACCCTTTTTGCAGCTGTTACGCTATCGAAATGGGTTTAGAATTTAACCTTATGTTTTTTTAAGACATAAAAAACATATTCAATCGTGTAATTTTTGAAATCCCATCGATGATTATTTGTAGCATAGACTCTCCCCCATTTGTTGAAGCTGAGGAGGTCTTAGGAGGATTAGTTCCTGACGAGGTGGTTCTCCCTCGAAAGAGGGTGCACGTGCTCGTGAGGTAGGCAAGGAGCAGCGCGTCGGTGCTGAGCGACGTCGCCACGAGGAGTTAGTTTGGGAGGCTTCTCCCAACAAGGATTCGCAGGTCCTTAAATGGGACCCAGACAACCATGTTTCGATTTGGGGTTAGCGCGGCATAGTGAGTATCTTGTGTTTATTTCTTGCTTTTTCTTTTTTTGGATTCCTTTTCAGATCCACCATAATCGAATTTCTTTTTACAGTGACCTAGCATGCGCCTGTACGGTTTGGGTGACTTGAGGGGTTGGTTTGAGACTTTACCTAAGGTAGTGAAGGAGGCGATAGAGCTTTTGGAGGTCAGTCCCTAGGTTGCAGCTCTTCGGGATTTATCGAGTCAGACTGTGTCACTAGCTTTCCTTAACGGGCTGTTGAAGTTTTGGTGGGATTCCACCTACACTTTTCACTACCTGTGGGGATAGATGATGGTTACCTCTTACGATTTCTCTAAGATCACGGGCTCTCCTTTTGGAGGTGAGCCCGTGGTTTAGTGGAAAATAAAGGGGTCAGATGAGATATTGCGTGATTCTGGGGGGGATCGTCTTGCGGCGACCCTCCATGTGTATGCGCAAACTTGTCCGTACTCAGTTCTTGCCAATGAGTTGTCGACTGATGAGGTTGACCAACAGTGTACTCTTGAGTAGTAGTCTCAAATATACATTGCTCACGTTCTTTCCGTCACTATTTTGAGTGATCGGGGAGAGCGCTTCGCCGTTGGGTTACTCGTTTGCTTCAGTGAGTTGGGGTAGGTGGGTGACCTTAACTGGGCGGAGGTGTCGTACGTCTGTTTTCTTATTGCAATGGCCAAAACTACCCGAGTGATGGGTTTCGCGGTAACTACTGTGGTGCCCTAAATCTACATTTCATGGCATGGCTGTATTCTCGATTTTTAAGCTGATCATGTTTTTGTTTGCTTTTTAGGTCTAGGGTACTCGTACCTGCTGTTTTAGGGGGTTTTTACGTGTCCTGTGGTAGATTTACGTCACTAAGTTTGGATCCTCGTGGCTTGTACCTGCACACAAACGAAAGCTCTGGATGTTCGAAGTTCTGCCTCTGATGATCAAGTTAGTTCGTGTCGAAGTGAGTAAAATGCGGAAAGTAAAATAGATCTTCTCGGATCTCGAGATCAAGTGATTTCTCTATCGTAAGAGAATAATAAATGTTGTAAAAATTGAACATGCCCCCAAATGGGGTTAATGCCCCTATTTATAGGGTCAAAGGGAAATGTGCCCTTCCGTAGGTCATTTAGTCTTATATTGTCGGGTCGCGCTATTTTACAACGCCTCGGGAAATGGGCCAAAGAAGAATGCCAATTTCCTTCGGCCTTCGCATGCCACCTATCATGTCCTAGTTAGCCCTTTTAGGGCATTCACTAGTAGAAAAAATGACAAAGGCACCCCACCTTTGGCACCGGTTTTTGAAAATCGGTGGTTAAAAAAACGGGTGGGATTGGAAAACAAGCTTTTGGCACCGGTTCCAGCCAAACCGGTGGCAAATTATCTTTTTGGCACCGGTTCAAATCGGTGCCAAATAAAAAAAAAAAAATTTTAAAAAAGGGGAAAAATGGATTTGGCACTGGTTCGGTTCAAACCGGTGCCCATTTAAAAAAAAACAAACCCGCTCGTATTTCTTCTTCTTCTTTTCTTTCCCCCTGCTTTTCATTTTCGGTTTTCCCTAACTCTCGTTTTCCCCCTCTTCTTAGCTTCGACCACCTCTGAAGTTCAACCTTTCTCCATATCTTTCCTCCGTTACGCGTGCTCGTAGTTCTCCATTAAAGCGCATTTTGAGCTTTGTCCATATCACTCCTCCACTACGCGTACTTTTAATTCTCCATTGAAGCGGATTCGAGCTTTCTCACCTCCATTGAAGCAGCTTCGAGGTAAAAATTTGTTTTTGTCCTTTTTAGATTATCGATTTCAGTTTTCGCAATTTAGGGTTTGTTGTTGATTTGATTTTCGAATTTAGGGTTAGTTCTTGTAAACTAGGGTTAGTTTACTACCGCAACACTCTTAATTTCGATTTGGGTTTTCTGGGTTTGGGTTTCACTTTGGGGTTTTTCTGGATTTGACATTTTCTTTTAGGTAGTCAATAGGGAGGCAGTTTTGTGGGGGTTTAAGGGTTTCATGGGTGGTGAGGGTGGCTGCGGTGGTCTATTTTTGGATAACACAAATTCACAAATTCTGGGGGTGGGGGAATGGTTTTAGGGGTGGGGGTTTTGAGTCTACGACGCTTTCGGGTCAGGGGAAAGGGGTGGGGGTTTCGGGTGGGGAAAGGAATGGGAGTTTAGGGTGGTTTCGGGTTGGGAAATTCAAGTTTTGGGCGGTTTTATTTGTGGGGCTGGGGCGGGGATCTATTGCGCTCATGTGGTTCTGGAAGGAGGGTGGTTTCGGTGGTGGTGCAAGGGGGTGGCTGTCGGGGCTAGGCTGGGGAGTGGTTGTCGGGCTGGTGGGGAATTATTGTAATATTGAAGTTAATATGTTGGATTTTAGGGATTTTTGAATTTAAATCAAATGATTAAGCAATTTAATTTTTAGTTTGAATTTAAATTTCATTTATTTGTAATATTATGTACTTGAGATTGGATGAAATCAATTTTTTAGTGGTAATTCAATGAAATTAAGATGAAATCAGTTTTAGGAGTTGATGTTCGAGTTGTTATTGTTGGGGTATTTTTTACTTGTTGTTGTTAGAATCGGTGTTCGGATATTGTTTACTTACTGTTTGAATTGGTGTATGGGTGGGGATGTTGTTTACTTGTTGTTATTCGAATTGTTGTTGGGCTGTTGTTTTCTTGTTCGAATTGCTTTTGAGGTGTTGTTGGATTGTTGTTGTTCGAATTGTTGTTTGAATTGGTCTTAGTATTGTTGTTGTACTTGGATTGAATTGAAGTGGTTGATGCATTAAACTATTGATACATATTTGGCCAGCATAGTCTGAATTATTTTTGGAAAGAGAACACACAAATGTTGAGATGTGTGAGTTGTGTGCAGGTAAAGGCACTTATGAAGGATCATTTAAATGGAAAAGCAGGAGGATAAAGTGAAAAGTCATCTCAGCCTAGGGCATCAGTTGAACCGAACTCACGTAACTTTGATGATTTAGTGGTGAAATTCCTTAACAGCAAAGATGTTTGAGCTGCAGAGTTCTTTAGACCCTGGTATGTTTTTGTACGGCTTTTTTTGTTTGAATTGTTAGTTTGAATTCTGATCCTCAAGTTTTTATACTATAATGCATCGATTGTCAAAGGGGGGGGGGGGGTCATCAAAGCGAACTGCTTCATATCTATTATATTATCTTTGTCTTAATAAATACTGTGCATGAAAATGTTCTTAGAATAGATTTCACTATTCTTGTCAACCATATGTCTATTATTAGTGGTTGTAGGACATGATAGCTTCACTTAAGGATGAAAATTCTTAAAATATAATGTTGTTATTTCTGATTTAAATCATTGCTGTTGTTAATATCCTCGAGCAATTGAATTATTTTAGCATGGGCGTTAATCCTCATCTCTTGCCTAATAAGTGACTAAAGAGAAATTAGAGCAGTTTTTGCTTCTTTAAATTGATATGGCCCTACTGGCATTACTTCTGCCTATTATTAGCCTCATTTTTTACATAGGCATTACTGATTTAGCTAGCTTCTCACCTTTGGGCTCTGGTGCCTCCTGAAAACTTTTTGTCAGCTCATAGAACTCAATGGATTTTAAATCCTGCACCTTATTTTTATATTTTATTGTTTGTGAGGAAGGCTTAGAATAATTCGTTGGTTCTGTGCATGTCTCGGTCTTTGCTGTAGAAGTAGTAGCCTCTAACTCCACTGACAAGTCTTCAGGCTCTCTCATTGTTCATTCTTTCTAGTTATTTCCGTGATTATGCGTTCAATGACAGTATAAATATCACTTTTTCTTGATTCTCAGCAACTGTGTTCTTGGGATCCACTTAAGAGGCCAACAACAGAGCAGGCGCTGCATCATCCATTCTTTAATGTATGTAATAATGCAAGTTCAAATTCATAAGGTCTTTTCTGTGTTTAATTGATAACTTTACTTGAGCTATGTGGCAGGGTGCTTCATGGGTCCCTCGTCCAATTCATGGTCCTTTACAAAACAAACCAGAGTATACGAGTAAGCATTTAACACCACATATTATGTCGAACCAGCTTTGTACTAATTCAGTAATTCTTTCGATGATAGTTAATTGCCCTTCTTGCTTGACAGAAACAAAGGAAGACGGCGCCTTCTAATCCGTGTATCTCCCATTGAAGAGGCAACTTCTGAGGTAACTTGTTGTTTGAGTCTGATTCATTTTAATTGTCAATGCGGTAAGTTTAGTGTTCGAAATCTCAACTATTTTTAATGTTTGAATCAAATTTCCCTTTGAATTTTCGACCCTAATTTGTAATTGAATCAAATATCCCTTAAAATATGTTATTTTTCGGGCATAATTTGATAATTGAATCAAATAACCCTAAAAATATGTGCTTTTTCGAATTTTAATTGAATCAATTGGGGTTCTGTGAATTTTGATTTGATTTGCATGTGAATAGTTTACCATCCTCAGAGAAATAAAATATTTGATTGAATCAATTGGGGTTCTGTTGAATGTTTATTTGATTTACACGTGAATAGTTTACCCTGATGGATTCATGAATTATTTGCTTTATTTTCATGAAAAGCAAATTCTTCAATTACACAGTAGCCAATTTCACATGCTCCATTACAACTACACCTCTTCATGACAGGGTCTTTAATATTGCATAGCTTTTGCCATTCCTACTGCTGTGAAATCTGCCGGGCTAAAGTTTAACATTTTGCTTTTCATGAATAGTGTTGATCTTTAATCCCTTCTTATATAATTGCATGTCAGGTTTTGTTTGCTAGGACTACTAATATAATAATAAGTGCATCCTTGTTTTTGGCTTCAGGGTGCTGCCGTGCTTGTGGCCTGCGTGGGGTTTAGTGCTGGGTTTTTGAAGCTGCTACTGCTGTTGTTGGGCTGCCTGTTGTTGGGGTGTTGCTGTTTTTCTTTTGGTGTAGCTGCTGCTGGTGCCTAATGTTTTCTGTAGGTTGGTCTGTTGCCACCTGTTGGCCTGTTTTGCTTGGGGCTGCTACCACCTGCTGTAGTGCTGCTGTGTTACTGAGTTGCCGTATGTGTTCAGCATTCAACATAAATCTCAAGTGTTTTTTTTTTTAGGTTTTTTAAAGTGTAATATTACAAGTTATTGAAGAAAATATGTGTTTTATGTATATTATGATTATATATACGTATTTGGTAGAATTTAAGTGAAAAAATGCAAAATTTTATTTATTTTTTATTTTAATATTTTTTTTTGGGCACCGATTTTGTAAAAGAACCAGTGCTAAAACAAAAATTTAAATTTTTTTTGGGGACTTTTGGCACCGGTTCTAAGTCAAAACTGATGCCTATTGTATTGAAATTAAAAAAGATAAAAGCGCGCCATGGGTAATTGGCACTGGTTAGAGGGTATTTGGCACCGGTTAACCGATGCCGATTCTTTAAATAGCCACCGGTTTTGAACCGGTGCCGATTCTTTAATTAGCCACCAGTGTTGAACCGATGCCAATTCTTTAAATAATCACCGGTTTTGAACCGGTGCCAAATTTTCAGAGATTTGGCATCCCTCAAATACTCAACGGTTCAAAACCGGTGCCCGTAGGGTGGTTTAAACCAATGCCTATTTATGTTTTTCGCCTAGTGATTCATAGGGTGACACTTGTCACGCTTTTACTAGACCACGTGGCTTGCGTAAAAATACCCAAATCATTTGCCCCTCATAGGGGTGACGTGGCGTTCCACGTGGCGCTTGTGACAAGTGTCACGCATGCATTGGTGAACGGTATTTTAATTGTTTACCTTCTGGAGTAAATTTCAAAAATGATCCTGAGATGTTACTCCTCTGTAAATAGTTTTTTAACCCCTCATTTTCACATATTCACGAAAAATCTTTGAGAGAATCTTTGACCTTTGAGAGAAAAAACCTCTGCCGCTTGTATTTTGTCCGCCTGCATTGCAGTCGTCACAAGCTTCAATCAATCATAACATTACCTTCATTTTAAAGGTAATTACGTGTTTCTTCTCTCGTTGTCACTTTTTATTTACCGTCTATGTTTGTTTTCCATTGTTTTCAAAAATGGTTTCACAAACACACACGACACGACCTAGGATGGCTGTCAGCCGGTCACTTGGGACGGCTTAATCTAGGACTAGGAGTGCCACTTGCAGCTCTTGCACAACATGAATAATGTTAGCACTACAACTTGGTATCACATACCTATGTGAAAGTTAAAATGTTTATAACATATTACCTCAGGTCAATGCTCCATTCTTCTTGAGGTAATCAAGGTATTTCTGGCAGTTGCGCTTCCAATGTCCTTCTTCTTGCAGTAAAAGCATTCACTTTCACTTGCAGGCTTGGGCTTTGGAGTCTCTTTGGGCTTTTTAAGAGCCTTGGATACTTTCTTGCCCTTGCTCTTGGCACTTGCTCCTTGCCCCTTCATCTTCAACCCCTTCCCTTTCTAGACCATAAGAACCTCTTTCTTTATGTCCTTGGGGATTTGCTTCTTTGCACGAACTAGCATAGCATGCAACTCATTCATAGTCTTCTCAGCATCAAACATGTTAAAGTTCATGATACACTGATCAAAGGATTCTGGAAGTGAGGGGATAATGATGTCAGTAGCCATCTAATTGTTGTACGGGTGCCACACAGTTTCTACATATTTTGAATTAGGTCGATCATTTTGAAACATGACCATGAACTATTACACCCTTCTCCATCTTACGATCCAAAATCACTCAATGGAGCTTGTACCTCTCAACTCGTGTCTATTTCTTAAATAAGCCTTTGAGTTCTTGCATGCTGGTGTATGCATCTTGGTCTTCATAACGCTTTTGAAGGCCAGGATCCATAGTATCTATCATCAAGCATGTGATTGGCACAACTTTGTTAAGAGTCTCCTTATGCCTACGCTTCAGAGTCTCAGTTGCGATTTCTAGCAAAGGTACAGGCACTGGGGTGTCAATGACATCCTCTCTACCTTCAGATTTCAAAACAAGTCTCAGCATTCTTTCCCAGTTGGAAAAGTTGTCTCCTGTGAAATTAATTACATTTAATCAATTCTAAGAGTTAAATTACATTTATTATAATAAGGATAATTTCAATTTTGCTACCACCAAAACACATGCACTTCACTTTTTCTACCCCTCTAATATTTTATTTTATTTTACTACCACTTAAAATCACAGTTGTAAAATTTCACTACCACTTAACGGAATCCGTTAGGGGTTCGTTAAATTTATGAAAAAAAAAACCAAATACCCATTTTATCTCACCTCCCCTTTGTTGTTCATCCATGGCTATTAGCTCCCATGGAAACCACCACCATTTTACCATCCATCCTCACCAAAACCATCTAGCCACCGCCCACCCTCACCAAAACCAGAATCGTTCACCCTCACCAAAACCCGCAGTCAGCTGCCCCTCCCCCATCAACCTACCTCCCCTCACCATCACCCCACCACAGCAACCCTCCCCTTCCCCTCCTTTTCCTGACCACCCCTCCCCTCCCCCTTCCCCTTACCTTTCCGACCACCGCCTTCCAGAATCCTTTCCGACCACCGCCTTCCAGAATCAAGTCTCCTTTCCCTATAAAAACCCAAGTTTTGGGTTTGGGAAAAACCACTTGAGTAGAACTCAATGAGGCTTCTCCCTTAAGGTGAGAAAACCTCTAAGTTTGTAAAACTCCAGTTTTTATTGGTCGGGTCTCGACTAACCTTCGGGACATAGACCGTTCGGGTCGGGTTCGTGGGTACGAGTCGTTATGGGCGGTCACGATTGTGACGCTCAAGCTTTCGAAGTAAGAGCTCGATTTGCGAGCGAAGCACGCGTCGAGGGTAAGAATGTCTTTTCTCTTTCTCTCAATATGTTGTTAATTATGTGATTAAATATTTAGTTTCTTTAATTAGTGAGCGGGTCTTAGGCGGGTTTCTCTTTCGCGTAGCATTAGACGCTACGAAACCCAACAAGTTTGGGAGGCTCCTCCCAACTAGGATCCGCAGGTCCTTAAATGGGACCCGGATAACCATGTTTTGATTTGGGATTGGCGCGGCATAGTGAGTATCTTGTGTTTATTTATTTCTTTTTCTTTTTCGGTTTTCTTTTCAGATTCGTCATAATCGAATTTCTTTTTAGAGTTAGCCTAGCATGCGCATGTACGATTTATGTTACTATAGGGGTAGGTTTGAGACTCTACCCGAGATACAGAAGGAGGTGATAGAGCTTTCGAAGGTTGGTCCCCAGGTGGCGGCTATTCGAGATTTATCAAGTCAAACTACGTCACTGGCTTTCCTTCACGGGCTGTTGAAATTTTGTGGGATTCTACCAACACTTTTCACTTCCTATGGGGAAAGATTATTGTTACCTCTTACGATTTCTGTATGATCACGGGCTTTCCTTTTGGAGGCAAGCCCGTAGTTTAGTGGATGTAAAGGGGTCAGACGAGAGGTTGCGTGAACTAGTGGGGGATCGTTTTGCGGCGACCTCCATGTGTATGCGTAGACTTGTCCGTACTTAGTTCTTGCCGATATTTTATTGACCGATGAGGTTGATCTGCAGTGTACTCTTGAGCAGCAAGCTCGGATATACATTGTTCACGTTCTTTCCGTCACTATTTTGAGTGATTGGGGAGAGCGTTTCGCCATCGGGTTACTTGTTTGCGTCAGTGAGTTGGGGTAGGTGGGTGACATAAACTGGGCTGAGGTGTCGTACGTCCGTATGCTTACTGCTATGGCCAAAAGCGACCCGAGTGATGGGTTTCGTGGTAGCTATTGACGTGCCCTGGATCTACATTTCATGGCATGGTCGTATTCTTGAGGTACGTGTTCATTTCTTTTGTATTTTACTTTTTCCATTCGATTTTTAAGCTGATCACATTTTTGTTTGCTTTTAGGCATGGGGTACTCGTACTTGCTGTTTCGGGGGGTTTTTACGTGTCATGCGGGAGATTTAAGTCACTAAGTTTGGATCCTCCTTGCCTATACCTGCACAAAAACGGAAGCTTTGGATTTTCGGAGTTTCACCTCTGATGATCAAGTTAGTTCGTGTCGAAGTGTGTAAAATGCAGAAAGTAAAGTAGATCTTCCCAGATCCCGAGATCAAGTGATTTCTCTGTCGTAAGAGAATAGTAAAATCTGTGATAATTGAATGTACCCCCAAATTGGAGTATATTCTCCTATTCATAAGGTCAAAGGGAAATATGCCCTTTCGTTAGTGGGCTGCGCTGTTTTACAACGCCTTGGGAAAAAGGGACTAAGAAGGCCGCTAATTTCCTTCAGCCTCTACATGCCACGTGTGATGTCTTGGTTGGCCCTTTTAGGGCATTTCTAGGGTGACACTTGTCACCCTTTTACTGGACCACGTGGCTTTCGTAAAAATACCTAAATCATTTGCCCCTCACAAGGGTGACGTGGCGTTCCACGAGGCGCATTTGACAAGTGTCACACGTGCATTGGTGAACAGTATTTTAACTATTCACCGTCTAGAGTAAATTTTAGAAATTCCCCTGAGATGTTATTCTTGTATAAATAGTTTTTTACCCCCTCATTTTCGCATATTCACGAAAAATCTTTGAGAGAATCTTTGACCTTTCAGAGAAATAACCCCTGCCGCTTGTACTTTGTCCGCCTGCATTGCAGCCGTCACAAGCTTCAATCAATTACAACAACAGCTTCATTTTAAAGTACTTGTCTGTTTCTTCTCTCTTTGTCACGTTTTATTTACCGTCTGTGTTTGTTTTCCTTTATTTTCAAAAATGGTTTCACAAACTCACACGACACGGCCTAGGATAGCTTTCAGTCAGTCACCTTGGACGGCTGAATCTAGGACTAGGAGTGCCGCTTGCCCCTTCTTGGACTCCTCCCTACGAACATCCCGAATCCGACCGTCTCTGTGTCTGTGTAGGACACTATGCGTGAAGGAAGGGAACAGGTCGGGAACTTAATGAAGATGATACACTTAGGGTGTTAGTTAGTGAATTATGTATCATTCGCCTAGCCCTTCGAGT